AAAAAAAAAAAAAAAAAAAAAAAAAAAAAAAAAAAGAATGTTACAACTGAGTTGGGAACTCAGTGCCTCAATGCAGGAAGATTTCTCCCGGTTTTGGAGACACGGAGAGGTTTCCGGAAGAAAGTGACAATTGCTTTTGGGCAGGGGAAAAGGCAAAGATGCTGATGGAATGATAAAAGCAAGGGCGGAGACGTAAAATGGAAATCCAGCTTTGGTAAAGAGTCTCATTCGGGGCAAAAGAAAAGGCTGTTAAACCATGTTGGGTGCAGATCAAACAGGACCTTGCTGCCAGGCACAGGGTCTGGGAGAGGTGAGGAATCCGCAGTGGACACTGAAGTCAGAGACGCAGGTTCAGACCCCAGTTCCTAAATTATTAAGTATTACACTTCAAGCAAGTTACTTAACTTAGTGCTTTCTTCGTAAAGTGGTATGGGACATCCGTGGAACAGGATCACGATGAATATTCAATGAGGCTGTAGAGTGGATTTGAGGATACAATTGCTTTTGAAATACTTTGAACCTTAGTTTACTGCTTACTAGCTGTGTGACCTTAAAGAAGTTGCTTAAGTTCTCTGTGCTGCTTGCTCACCTATGAGATAGGACTCGTATCTAGATACTTAGTACAGTGGCTGGAACATAAAAGGTATATATATGCTAATTATTTGTAAAATATATATTATTTTTGTGACAGTGTCTCGCTCTTGTCACCTGGGCTGGAGCGCAGTGGTATGATCTTGGCTTATTGCAGCCTTGACCTCCTGGGCTCAGGTGATCCTCTCACCTCAGCCTCCCACGTAGCCAGGACTACAGGCGTGCCACCATGCCTGATTTTTATTTTTTTTGTAGAGACAGGGTTTTGCCATGTTGCTCCAGGCAGGTCTAGAACTCCTGACCTCAAGCCATCTACTGTCTCAGTCTATCAAAGTGCTGGGATTACAGACGTGACCCACCACACCCGGCCCATGCTAATTTTCTTCCCCTTTCGGGTGGGCAATGGAAAGCTGATAGAGGATGCTGTGGAGTAGGGACCCAATGGGACAGTTCAGGTCTATGGCAGCGTCAAGTGGTTTGGGCAGGTCAGGGAGATGACACAAGCTAGGGAAAAGACAAACAGCCTGCCCCCAGGAAGGAAGAGGTGTGAGTGGGTTCTGTGAAGATCCAGCAGGCTTGGCAGGTGGTGGAACACACCAGAGGCAGGTATCAGGTTGAAACACGGATCAGCAGGAGGAAGATACATTATCCCCCCAGCTTATTGCGTTAGAAGCAGGGGTAGGTAGGCCGGGCGCAGCAGCTCACGCCTGTAATCCCAGCACTTTGGGAGGCCGAGCCGGGCGGATCACGAGGGCAAGAGATCGAGACCATCCTGGTCAACATGGTGAAACCCCGTCTCTACTAAAAATACAAAAAATTAGCTGGGCATGGTGGCGTGTGCCTGTAATCCCAGCTACTCAGGAGGCT